GACTATCCTGTCTATATAGACACTGTTTCAGTGCCGTTACTATCTCCCGTGGCAGATAAAAGGCGAGACCACTTTGTCCCCCCATTCCGTGATTGTAGCCTACATGCAGAAAGGCGTAACAGTGCCTGTGCCAGTTGCACTTGAACAGCAAAGACTACAGCCCACATCCTACTAGCAGGTATGTTCTGTGCCTATGTGAGAGGAAGTAGCTCTCCGCACCAGCAGGCAGCAGTGGTCTGTATTTGACATTCAAAAAGGAAAACAAAAGACCAACAGGATGGAATCAAGACAGCAGTTAGCCAGTTAGCACATTAACAACACAACCTGATGTTGAAAGGATATTTACCGTGAGCTACCAAACAAGAATACAAACAGTTACGAACCGTTTCTCCCAAAGAGCTCAATGGCTATAAAAACTATCTTACCTCGTATAATAAGTTTGTTTTGATCTCACACCCTCCTGACTTTAGTTGTTGTTTTGCTTTCCTTACTTCTGTGTCTCTTCTTGTGCACTGACTGATGGGCTCCGCAGTCTCCAATGTCGATACACAAGCTGAATCAGCCAAAAAAGCCCACAAGGGCCACCAGGGCCGACTAGTGCCAATGATGTGAGACACACCGTAAGAACTAGGGTGGGAGACGCTGACCGATGGCCCAGCATTGACTGACATCTGATTGTCTCCTTAGTGTGTCAGGGCCCTTACTGGGACAATTAAACAAAATTGAGCCCTAGTTAATATTACTATCATCACCTATGCTTTTCCCGCTTTGACAAATCAAAATGACTGCCATTAGCCAGTTCTGGAGCCCAGTGTCCTCATGTCATTTCAAGCAGAGCTTGACTTTTCTGAACCTAAACAGGGGTGCAATCACCCAGAATTGAAAACACCTGTGTGCATGGCCTTTAAAAGGTAAACAGTGGCACTATTAATATTGAGGAGACTGACATTTTGTCTTATTAAAATACACCCTCCCAGTATGGGGATTACCTTTCCTGAGTGCAAACAAACTGCTAATTTAGAAACCCTGCTAACCGCAGCTGCTCTGTATCCCTATAGGTGAACCAGTGAACCCTGAGCTGTAATCCGTATATCCTTCTCTGTGAGCTCTGAGTAACAGCCTCTGATCCTCTGTGCTGATGCAGTTTGTCTGGTTTATGTTATCATGAATTCCCTTTATTTCCCTGACCATAGAAACATGATACTTGACATATACCACTAATTGGCAGTCCCTTTAAGTACAGTGGGGACTTGTAGAGCACAGTAGGAAACAAAGAACAGAATGTGTGGGTGGAGTTTTATTTTAAATCAATACAATTGAGTGACTTCAAAGATTTTGGCCTAAACCACCCCACTGTCTGGACACATGATTGTTTGCATTCTAGTTAATGTGAAACACCTGTGTAACTGTCTTTGTGCTGCAGATACTGTAGTACACATAGTTCTTTATAGGTATTTACTCCACTGAGAGTAAATTCACTTTACATAACAACATAACCGCTGCTGAGGGGTGACGAGGGTGACAGACCACATTTTTGGTATGTGATTGCAGTCACATCTCACTATCTTGCTATCCTGCAGCACTATCAATTATGCAATATCTTTGTGGAGATTGGTGTTATAGTAGCACAAAACCTTTTTTAAGCAGAGTTGCTCTTAAGGGCAGTAATTATCTCGCTGGGGTACTGTGGGGGAAAGAAATTAATTAGAAAGAATTAATTGATGTGAAAGTATCTAACTGGCTGCCAAGGTTGAACTCTCTAAAGGTGATTCAGTGCGTTCTGGCTTAAATAATTCCTGCTCCAACTATATTTAAAAAGACGCTGCACAATTTAGGTGTTATCAGCTGACGCCATACGACGGTGTTGCCTGTAACTTCAGCAGCATTCACTTAGTGGTATGATTGTCTTTGATGACTGATTTCTCCTTAAGTTTTCTTCCTCTTGTGGCTTTTTCTTTCAAGGTTAAAGAAAATTAATTAGGAAGTAAAAAAAAAAAAAAGATGATTTTTATGTTGGGTACTTTTTGGATCCAGCTTCTTATTTGCTAACCTGTGTGACATAGCCTGATTGTAGCTGATCCTACTGGTCTATCAAAATCATACATTTTATGGCCATGAATCAAAAAAAAATTAATTTTGAGAAGCCTATTTTGTGTTTTTGACTATGGAGTTCAAGTTTTCCCCAATTTGCATTTGTTTCTCAACCAAGATGTATCATTGTATCACTTAAGAAACCATGGACGCCCACCACAAACTTATGTTTGTATGTCAGTTCTCTGAGCTTCAAAGGCATGTTCAGAGGACTTACATCAATTACCAAAGTGTCATTAGCCAAGAGAAATGACAAAAAAAAAAAGATAAACCGTCTTGCTCATCTTTGCTCATTACGTACAACAGCTCAAAATTGTATAAATGGGTGCTGAACAAAATAATCTGAGTAACAGCCAATAGCTTGAAGATGTAGAACATATTTGCATTGTTTTTTGCTGCTACAGCACGTTTCACTACACAAACACTACATAAAATACTACACAAAGTAAAAATTGAAGAAAATGCTCAGTTCACTGTGTGTTCAGACATGTTGCTGTGAAAGGTTTGTCTGGGCTTGGTGGATCGTGCAGTTTCTGACTCTAAATTCTAACTTGAATGACCATTGCAATGCACTTTTAAGTGTCTGAGGTAGTTCTTCCCGATTCCAAGTACAATATATTGCAGGGTTAACACTTCACCCACCTCATCATAAAATGGTCAACTTATAGAGCATTAGTGCGCTGTCACCAAAAAGTGCCACCAAGTCCTGCGTTGATGACAATCTGTGTGATCCAATACGGATACTACTATATAGTATACCAGAAAAGATTTAGTATGTCCCAATACATAGTATGTTAAATGCAGTACGCCAAAAATATCTGGATGTTCTTCTACATCAGCTCTGATTTTGCAGTATGCAAGCCAGCATGCCCTTCTGGCTATTCTGACCCATAATCCTCTGCACAGTGAACAATATGTCACATTGACTGAGCCGCAAACAGATGACAGCTTGACAGGTCATTGACAGCTGTCAGAAGTCGCAAAGACGGAAGACAGCTCATTCAAGTAAGTGATGACCAGTCGTAGTATTATCGATTGTTTAAGTGAACAAAATAATCATAAATATCACAATCAACAATAGGAAATAACTCTTAAAACAACGACAGAGAACTGCAGATGTAATTTCACTGTTGCAGATATAATATGTTAGAATCTACAATCCATGCAGTTATAACTTTAAAGTTTATATACATACATTACAAAGTAACAACAGCAGAGCTCTCCGGGTTGATCTCCGTCTCTGGTGAACTCAGTTAGTTGTGTTTGTTTTATCTCCAAGGTCCAAGGTGGATATATAAGTGAGAGGGTCAAAGGTCAGAGAAAGTAGTGTGTCGCGACTGTGTGCATACTGCATGCTACAGTACGTATTTTTAAGGGCAGCTGCAGTGCCTACTAAAGGTAAAAAGAAAAAGTATGTGTCTCAGAACGCACCCATAGTCCTTGTTGGGGACCCATCAGGAAACATTAACTTTTACACTACAAATGATGTATGGTCAAATGCATCACAGACCACCTTGGCCAGTGGTTAAAGTGATCGCATCAATCTTAGTGATTGTTTACACTTGAATTTAGCTCTGTCCACTTGTGATTGGATCACCCAAGACACATGTATAAACAAGGTCAAAAAGGTGCTCTTAAAGGGCCAGTTCTCCCAAATGAACATGCAGATAGCTTTGGTTTTATTTGTAATGTGTTTGACATATTGGTCAGAGATTTCTGCTTTTTCCCCTATACAGTGGTGGGAAGTATAAATCAGTGTGTGGTCCTCAAAGTATTAAAATGTGCTTACAGCGAACAGCACTTTTGGTCATCTTAAATTCACATCAGTTACAGTAGTTGTAATATCCTCCCTTTTACTCGGCAGCTGATGAGAGCAGCTGTACTTCCCCGCTTACCACACATTTTGCATGTTTTAAGACAATTGGCCACCTACGAGTAACAAGCCCTGAAATTGCATCGTACACCCTGTCAGTCTGAGGTACGGGTACTGATATAAAGGAGGGAACGCTCTAACTTGACCCCAATGTGTCAGCCTCTGCTGATGAGGCATCTGGTTGACACTCTGTAACAATCGTTGGTGATATCAGTCAGCACGGCAGATCAGAGAGAGAGCAGAATGCAGAGGAGCCATGCTAACATATTAAACAGAGCAAGTACTGAGAGTGAGATTTCTCAAGTGAGGATGGAGAGGAGGGGGTGGGCGTCAGGGTGGGGTGGAGGGTGGAGGGTGGAGGGTGGGGGTGTTGCAATCATCTGGGGGATGCCGAGCATTGTGAGAAAATGGGCATGCTAATGAGGGCCAAATACTTGGAGAACAGCTGCATTGTAAATGAGCTGACTTTGTACACTTGAGCTTGGTTGAATCCCTGAAGTGTTGTTTGTTAATCAAAGGAGTAAAAACGGAGAGGAACAAATGACTAAAAATAGTAGCTGAAAAGCTGGGTGCAGCTCACGCCTCTGATGGCACACATACAGCTGTGGTAATTGCTGGGAAAAGGTTACCATTGTTGTTATTCACACTGTGAAGGCAGGTTGAGGAACTATGAGACACCCCTTGACATTAAGCTGATGAATGCACGGTTACTTTGTGTCCCAGGGTATGATTGCATCTCAGGCTTTGTCTGGAAGACTTGGACACTTTGAAGTTGAGTAACCTGATCAAGAGGCAAATAATCGGACTTAACTAGAGGTCATGGGAATTACCTCATCAATAATAGGGAAAAGTTACATTCACAGCACTGCTCATCCTTATCCTTTTTATCGATTGTGGGGGGAAAGGACTCCCACATGTAGTGAACACTACCAAGATTAAGAGGTCATGGGAAAAGCTTTTTAGGAATGTGAAAGGAAGCCTGTTCAGGTTACCTCGGGCATATTCTTTGACTGAAATAACACTTTAAATCCAGAATTTCAATAAGCATTTATTTACAAAAAGAAAATAATGACAAAGAATACTTTGAAGAGTGAATACAAAACATGTGCTAATATGATAAAATACATTATCATACACAACGTATATTTTATGAATGTGTTAAATAAACTATGCTTAGATTTTTTGGGGGGGATCTGAAAAGGCTGAGTTGAGGAAGCAGGCAGCCAGTGTTGGATTGCTTTATAGGGATTATTGCATTTCAGTTTGTGTTTAAGGCAAGGATGAGGCATGAAGAGGAGACAGAAACACTTCACGTAACAATGAAGCAATATTACTTTTCTCTTCATCACAGGGCACACTATCACATAAACATCAATGACTGAAGAGGAGGAAGACAAAAAAACAGAGAATACTCTTTTCATTAAAGAAATGTAACAATTTTACAAACAGGATTGGTCCGTACATTTTTCATTTAAGAACAGCTTGTAAGAGAAGAACCAGTTTTCAAAGCCATGTATGTGTGTGTTGCATTATGAAACGGTCCCTGCAGTTGTCAGATGAGTTGTGTCCCATGATGTCCTTGGCACCACAACGACTTGTTGTCTTTGGTGCCTGATGTGCTGTACCGGCATGAGTCCACAGAGTCAGAGTCCTCTTCCTTATCGTCGTACCGCCTGACGTCTCTGCCTGTCCCCCGTCTCTCTGATGCTCCCTTCAGTACGGGTACTGCTTCTGCTTCTTCCCCGCAAAACAAGACAGCCAGGTGCACAGCAGCATGGCGGCAGCTGCCCCTGCCCCTGTGCAGTAATACGCCCAGCCGATCTGGCAAGAACCTGCAAAGGAGAACAGAGGATTCAGGATGGTATCTTTTCACCCTTTATTTTATCTGTCTGTTTGTCAGTTGGCAAGATATCTCCAAAAACCCATGAACGGATTTCAGTCAAATTTGGAGAGATAAGCCTTTGGCCAGGGAACAAGTGATTCGATATTGGTTTAACCAGAATGTATGAGCGTTAGAAGAGACCTGCACTCTGTTTACTCTGCATTTACAGAGCCTTTAATGAATTCTGCTCATTAATCTCACATTACTTCTAAAATAAAGGAAGGAAACTTCTGTACAAGAGCTCAAGTTTGTTTACTGCATAAAGATAAATAAACTGCAGGAGGATTAAAAACTGTCTCTATTCTAGTCATGCACCGCAACGTTAATAATTAAAGGATTAGAGACATTTTAGTTTTAACAGAGCTTTTACTCGACATTCTTCTTGCGGTTTCTGATATAGTGGGTCTGGGCAATTAATCAAATTTTATTTTGAATTATGATTTTGGCTTCCAATGATAATGAACACATTATAATGGAGATACGATTATTGTGCCGCATTATGTTTAGCAATGAAGCTCTCTTTTGTAATGCTCTCGTTTTGTTATAAATGCAGCACACACCTTTCCTGTACAGTGGTGCACTCAGTGTTGCTAACTTGGTGATTCTCTCGCTAAGTAAGTGACTTTACAAACCCTCTTAGTAACAAAAATCCACTATTAAAAAGACAACTTTCTTTAAGTACAGTAAATGCATGATGTTTTCAATGTCAATGAGTAATTGTGTTAAATAATAGTGATCTCATTACTGACCACAGTTATAACGATTACGATTTATGCCATAATTAAGCAGCCCTACAATACAAATTATATATTATGTTATAATAACTATGTTTTATTGCTTGTCATTTCTATATCTCTACCTTTATTGTCCTATGTACCCATAGAGCCCATCAGAAAGAGTTAACAACTCTTATTGGATAATGAGCAGTCGCCGTAAGAAAGTTCTTAGTTGATTCCAAGATTTTAGCTGTACATTGCAGTATTAAAGAATACATTTAATTTGGAAACTTGAGTGCTAGCTGTAACAGTATGTTAACTATTTAGTTTTCATCAAGGTTTGCATCTTCTTATTGTATGTGTGCTGCGTAAAATGAACAATAATGGAGTCAGGATTATGAAGGCCACAGCCTTCTGCTAACACACCTTTTTTGTCAGTGGCAGAAATTTAGAATATCTAATGTATTTTCTGTATGTTATACCCAAAGAATACTACACAATACCCCTATTCTTGCCTTAGATCCGACATTGACGTGTTAATGTTAGGAGCAGAAAGTGCTGTGACCTGCTTAACATTTTTGTTGAAGCCACAACATTTCCCTTCCTCTTGTGAAAAAGAGTTAGCATTGTTGAAACAGATGCACCGAACATAGTTTAACTTCAATTGCAAACAGGCAGTGTGATATGTGCCAAATGCACTCTCACAACACAGACTTTTGGAGAAGCACACCAGTGGCAAGAAATGCTGAAACCGAGCCAAAAGCCAAAAGCAAGCACAAATTAAAACATAAAGGGCCTCCTTAAGACGCATCTTCTATAATCCTCAAAGGAAATTATGTGCATTATTAAACACGGGTATGACCTAAATCTGATTCTAAATTTGGAAAATGTTGTGATGACCATCAAGACTCCTCATTATAAACATCAAATTTTGGGAGAATGTCTGATTTAATCTAGTTATCTAATTACCAGCCGGGTGGGAGGCGGAGGAGGCGTCTCATTAACAAATCATACCAGCCGTCTTCTCACTGTGGCAACCTCATTCAACAGCCAACACTGAAAATACTTATTTCTTCCAGTCTCATTTTCTGATGCATATTTCTCTCCGTCACACTAAATGAAAATTAGCTTCCCCTCTTTTCAAATGTAGCTGTACTTTATCTATTAACATGATGTGGGAAAATTCCATTTGAAAAAAGATGTCAGCTCAAAGCAGTGATTTTTATTTTCAGTTACATTTGAAATACTTAAGTCCTGACTGCTCTCTTTGAGACTAATGAATGAGTGTGCGAAGCTGAGATTCACAGTCCTCATTGTGACATCACTTGTGTGACACCCACTGTACTCATGGGAGAACATCACAGTCTTGTCTGACTCTAACAAGAATAAGGTGAAACTGAAATAACTATGGTGAAGTCGTCTTCAACTGAACGGCACACTGAGGCAAATGTACTTGTTAACAATAATTTATATGTACTAAGAATCTGTTCTTTCAAAGAAGAAAACACAACATTAAAACTTGATATTTTACTTCTGATGACTTGGTCTGAAATGACAGTAATTAAGATGATGTGTTTAGGAATTTAGATAAGCCAGAATTATATCTTCCTAAATTATATGGATCTGGTTCACAATTAAATGCTTATAGAATAGTCACATCTATCTGCTGACATAGCGGCAGCTGTGATCTGTATGAATCCATAATTCACATGACTGAAAATGCACTAAAACACAGTGTTGGCTGGATTTTGATAGTTTTGGGCTTTTTGTCCTTTAATGCTGATAGATTTCCAAAGTACTTACCACAGATGGCTTATAAACATTAATTAACTGGTTTTTCTTACTCTTCCATCTGTCTGGAGAAATATCTCAACAACTACTGACCAGATTGTCATGCAATGTAATTCTGTTATTCGTGACACGATCAGGTCAAAACCTGCCCTTGAGTATCATTGATTGGTGGATTGGATTTCAGACCCTACAAGGGACTCTTGTGGGATTTAAAGGAATACCCTACCCCCTAAATGACCATTTACATATCAATTACTCACCCTGTGTTGTGTTGAATTTGTGAGGAAAACTTTATTTTTCTTGCATGCCCCCACAGTGAACGAAGAATCAGAAAAACAGAGAAAATTCATGATGAATTGAAGTCACTGAGGGCCGTGTAGAACAACAGCAAAACAATACAAAAAACATTTGTTTGCAAACTCTTACATTACTCATGCCGTATAATCCAAATCTCATTTGGATTGAGCCAGACTCCATTTGGACTGAGCCAGACTCCATTGACAGAAACAGTCATTTTTACTCTCTGAACACGTGAGCTGCTGGTCTACCACTGCCTCGTTTTGTTAGTTAGTTATTGTTATTGTGTGACTTTAGTGTTTTAAAGAGTTAGTTCAGATTCACCAAAGTCACACAATAACACAACCATACTCTCTGATCGAAGTAGAGGTGGGCCAGCAGCTCCTGTATACAGCACGGTAAAATTACTGTTTTTTTTCAGTGGAGTCTGGCTTTGAAGAGAGCATCGATAAGTTTCACTTTCAGTTCAGTTTCCTGTCAGAAAAGGCTGTCTGTACTGAGCATACCACTGGATAAACGAGACTTGGATTGTACTGCATGAGTTGTGTGAAAGTTTGTTAACGGATGTTTTGATGTAGTTTTGCTCATGTAAAATGCAGTCACCTATGACTTCAATTCATCAAATTGTAGAGGCATGCGAGAAAAACAGTTTTCTTCACCAATTCAATGTAACACGAAGTGAGGAACTGAAAAACAAGTGCTCATTTGGGAGGTGAGGTATTCCTTTTAATGACTGTTTTGTACTTTTTGTTTTGCCTTGCCTTTTTGCTCAGCAGTCAATAGACATTATACTAATCTGATTCAATGAACACATCCAAGCTCTGCCTATCTTAATGTTTAAGGAGAAGGCAGAAAAAAATAACTTCTTTTCAAAAAAGTGGCAGAAACTCTAGCATGGTGGACATTGATGTAAATTGAAAGAGAGAGCAAATCTAAATGTACCTGATTACATAAGGTATGGGCTCAACAGCTTTATCAAAAATGTACCTTTGACATTTAATTAAAATTTTACAATTACACCAAATGAATTTCTCTATGTACATTAAGTAGAAGATCAAACGCTATTTGATTAGCATCAAATAAAAGCGCAGCTGCAGTATGAATAGCCCCTCCACCTGCCTAGTCTCTGATACAGAAGCATATTATTGTCTATGAGATAGTCCTGTGAATGCCAGCTGAATACAGAGCACAAATCGGGGCCCCTGCTTATTCTCAGCACATATTTATAGCTATAAAACACTCCAGAAATCGACAGCAACTGGAGGTAGTGTTTACTTTTTATCATACATTTTAAATACCAAGGGACTGTGTCCATTCAGTATATGACAGCACCAGAGAGCTGTGTCTGCTTGGTTTCTAAAAAAGGCAGAATGTCAACGGCCAGATATAAAAGTCTGCTCTCTGCTTCAAACTTTTTCATAGATTTATCTGTTCTGGGACCAGAACATTCAGCAAATACAAGACAAATTTACAAAGTCATGGTTGAAGCACCAGTGTGTAATTTAGGCGCTGTGTGTATGGCTGTTGCGTGCGCATGTCCGATCTGCCTGGTAGACATCTCACCTAGATGAAACTGGTCTGAGCTGTTGTTGCAGGTCTGTTGTACTTCCTCGCTGTCCCATCCCAATGGATAGAGTGCACAGCCAGATCCTATGAGCAGACCTGAGAACAAGGTAAAGAGAGGCTGTCAGTGATGAAGGAATCACAGGAGCTTGACTGATCACTGGGGGTTCAAAAAACATCACAAAACATGACTGGAGGCTGACAAGACAACGTTTGTGAGGTGAAAAAAGCTGCAGCAAGGACAAACTCTCACCATCAAGGTGTTCACTCAGCTCCTTAAGGAAGGCCTGTGTTGTATTTGTGAGACCTTGCCTCTGTAGGTTTTCATAATTTAAGAATCTTTTCATTAATGAGGAAGAAAATGCAAAGCAGTGTGTTGTATTTTTCCCTTTGCTGCATCCAAATATCCAGCAGGGTGAAGTGAATTAAAACTCTGGTTTTGTGTGAGTTCTCTCTCATTCTTTGGTTTATGTTGAGTGATCCGAAATACAATGATTACGTTTACATGCACATATTTCAGTATTATTCCAAGTATGACAGTATTCTGAATTTAGTGTAGCTCTTGAAAACAGCATATTCCATTGGGATTTTCTGAATTAGGCATATATGCCAGCATTATTTGGGTTTCAGGAGCATTCTTTGGACATGTATACAGCGCATCTGAAATATGTGTCCGCAGTTTGTGACACACGGACTCCTGCTCATTTACGGTCAACTCTGTGCGTTGTACACAAACCAAGAGAGGTAGAGATGCATGACCAAAAGAAAAGCCAAAATTCTGGTCTGAGGGAGAAACACGCCTTCTTTTAAACATTATGAAAGACTTGTATATCAACCGCTTTTTTGGATATGCAAAAATATCACAACACTGATCTTTTCTAGAAGGTGGTTGAAGGAATGAAAGAGGGAGGTTGTGTTCCTACAACCATACAAGTCCATCACCGGTGGGAAAACTTTGAAAAAATCCTATCATGATGCAAATAAGCAAAATGGCACAAGCAGCTCCAGCTGTTTCACTTTTCCATATTTGACATGATAAAAAAACCTGTCAAGATGCATTAATTTAAGTATGCACGACTGCATGTAAACTGGAATATTAGTGGAATAATTATTTCCATGAGCCGTCTAACAGCCTAGAGTGAATATGTTCTCATAATAAAGGCAAAAAACAGAATATTTTGTGCATGTAAACAGTCCATGAGGTGCTGCTCCCCAAAAGTGATACGTGTGTGACCTCACCTCTATGTTGTTTTTTTTCACCTTATCAACCATTTCCAGCAGATACTGATGGGGGTTCAGCTCTGACCTGTTCCAACAGTTTTACCTAACAAGCCTCAAATCCTTTTGTAAAATGACACGGATTGTGATTTTAACACTTCATCACGTTTTTACAGCAACAAAACAAAGCACCCCTCTGCCAGCAGCTCATAAAACGGCTGCAAATGAACAACGAACGTATGCAAATAGCTTGGCAATTTCTCACAGAGGCAACAGCGAAAAAACAAGCCATTTTTCGGTACGCAATAATTACTGTAAAACTCTGGAAGACCCTTGAGGGACTGCTTTATGTCAGTGATTAAAGAGACTTATGACTGCGCTTAAAGCTGCACACAGAGACAAGAGTAAAATCTAGTCAAGGCCATTTACATTAAGGATTAATATCCTCAATATTAGCCTACAGCCAGGTCTTGACAAGTTATTCCCTGGGTGCCAAGGCCTGTCTCTTGAAATTACCCTGTAGGTGGCTCTGCCATCACATTAGCTTAATCCCCTCCAATGTGTCTACCCTGCTATCAGTTTTGGGATGTGAGGATGGCAGCAGAGGAAAAGAAGGCAAGGAAGCTCTGCCTTCCAACCTCATTACCCCTGCCATCCAGGACTGCCTTATTACATCTAGGCCCAGATAACAAGCAGGAATTAATCCACATGCTAATGCAGATGGGCTAGACAAACCGGCTAATATCAGAGGTGGAGCAGGAAAAGTGAAAAAGACATCTATGTTTTCCCCAACTGCAGCCAAGAGGAAGGCGAATGTCATCGGCCTGCTTGTGTGAGAAAATAGACTGGCTGATTATGGCACCTGTGGTAGAAAATCAATTCAGTGAAACTCCGGCATGTTGATGAGAACGAAGGGATATAAAAAGGCTCTGACCAAGTCTGTGTCATTACAGCTCAGGATCAGAGGGGATCCAGGGATTGTCATACGTAACAACTCAGCCGTTTCTTCTTCAGCCCCTTAAGAAAACTTCAGACGAGTTTGCTTCAGACCCAAAATGACTACCTTTAGCTGAGCGGTAACAGCAAGAGTAACACATGAGCATTTGATGTAAATCCCTGTACAAGCAACCACTGTGGACCCCTGATGAATATAAAGACCCACTATTCTACAAGGTACAAAAATGCATTTAGAGGCAAGTGAGCATACACACAGTCATTAAAATATTCTCAGTTATATAATGTTATCAAATGTGTTTTGATTCAAATTTGTAACAGTAAAGACTGTAAAGCATGCAAGCATGATAATGTATTCATCATTAATATTTAACAAACTCAAAAATTCTCTTTCAAGTGTTGGGTAATGCAGAGAGATACAGCAGCATAATCAAATTGAATTTCCTTGCAGCGCAAGGGAGGGGAAAAAAACGCATAGCAGAATGTTGCTTTGTTTCCCAAAGATATTGTTATTCTACCCCACAAACTATAATATTTCCATTTGAAAAATCAAGATGTATGGGGATTCTCAGTCATTCTTTGATTAACACATTTGTTAAAATGATCAAAACCATAAAGAACTGCTGCTCTGTCGCGAGCACCTCAGAGAGAGGAATAGGGAGAGAAAGTCTTCAGTGCATAGTTTCCACATCAGGTCAGATGATGATGACATGGGGCGCTGAAAACCTAAAAGACTACAGACAGGAGGGAAAATACTGACACAACAAAGAGGAAGTATCAGCTCCATTTGTAACCACAAAAAAATCAAAGGTTTCTGGGTAAACCGCCAGTGTTTGCTGTTGTTTTTGAGGATAAACTCACTGAGCCTGCAACACTGCAGTGGGTGAAATCAATGTGAGCACTCACATGTTACCATGACACTATAGAGACAGAAACTGCAAAACATAAATCACTGTGGGAGCAGATAAAAATAATAAATACAAACACATTGCCAAGGTGTAATTCAATTCCGTATCATATGGGGTCCTACATTTCTTTTTTGGCTTTTATTTATTTGATTAATTTATTTTTTTCCCATTATAGTTAATTCCATCAAATCCCATCCTCCACACTCACTATGTGGGTTATTGAGAAGCAGAGGTAGGGAGGCTGGTGACTGGGATGTGGGAGACAGATTACCAAGAATGGAAAATGTTCTTTCACATGATGTTTATGAAGCAAGTTGCTACAGAGAAGTGTGGACTTGTGAGAGGCAGCTACCTCAGGCTCTGATTCTCCATGCGTGCTGTTGGGGACTGATACTTCCTGTCTTTCTTACTTCCTAAGCTGACACAGATGCACCCCGATCTGCACAAACAGACAGTTGGGGATTTGTGTCATTTAGCATGGGGCTGTCAGCTATAGCACTGCTTTTCAACCTTTTTTGGCTTGTGACCTCTTAAACTGAGGCAATGGCTTCTCCTGACCTCCCGTCACAGACTGCATATGAGCACACTGTATCATGTAATTCCCCCTTCCTCCCCACCACAACAGTTTTCTTGACCTAAATCTAATGTCCTGGCCAGCGGCTGGAGAACCACTGAGCTTACGGACACGCTGCAATCACAAGCACTAAACCACATCCTAGACTTCCTAAGATAAGATAAAACTTAATGATCTCCCCGGAAAAAATTGGTTTGCTGTAGCAGAAAGTCAAATAAGAACCCTGCAAAAGAAAACTGTCAAAGTCAACTCTTGTATAAAAAGACAAGCAAACTAGAAAATTGCATTCAGAAGGGGAACAGATATCTGCTTGATGTGTCTGGGGGCATATGGGTGGGGAATAAGGAGTGCAGTTCAGGCTGTGTGTCCAGCATGTATGCATGACTATGGAGGAATGAAGGAAAGACAATATGCAGGTCACATTATCAAGATGTAACCTGAGTAGAGAGGGTTATATGAAGACAAACCACAGAAACAATGTCCAATAAAACCCCTCCCTACCATCCTATTTCCTCTCAAACAAAGAGGAAGCTCACTCAATTGTCCCTCCCAGCTCCCTTACAGTCAAGATGGTGGTGAAGATAACAAGGGATTTATTCATCTTGTATCGTGCCAACTTTAATAGGTCAAAACATATTGGGTATGGGGTTAATCTGCAGATGCTCAGGTTCAAAATTAGACCAAACTTTTTTTTAATGAATGTCAGTTTTTGAGCCATGGCAAATGCCAAAATGTGGCTTGCAACAAACCCAGTAAGGCCTGTTTTTAGCTTAGCCTATGGCTGGAAATACCTTCTGCAATGTGATTTTGTTGATCTCTTGCAGCCCATACTGACTGGGTAAAAGGAGTGAGGAATCAGCAGTCAATGATGGCACAAAAAAATGAATGAATAAATAAATAAAATAATAATGACATTCCACTACATGCAAACACAGGTATGCATTTTGAAATGTTCATGTTCACTGTGCCACAAAATAAAGAAACTGATAATGAAATGGAGTCACTTTAATTCAAACTGATACTGCTGCAGTGCCGAATTGGTGACAGTCCAAAAGTTTAGCAGCTCAGAAATCGAACTGTGGTAAATGCCTAAATAACTACCAAATACCCAAATTCAAAAGACCCATATTGGCTCAAACAAATGTCTTTTGTGAATTTCATTGCTTTCCCCAAACCACAGAAAGGTTCTGTTCTCCTAGAGGCAACATGATCAACTTCAACAAGCAGCTCATTTTTCTGTGAGCAGATGGCTGTCTCATGATGAAATCATTGCAGAACTGCACTAAGCTGCCATGAGGATTGCGATGGAAGTCACCACAAGGCTGATACTGCAGTTACAAAGCGACTACATGACACTGTAGAACAGACGGACAGAAAAAAATACATCATAAATGTGAGAAACCCGCCATCACCTGCATCTACAGACATTCTGTGCACCCTACACA